CCTTTTTTAACATCAATCATCCTAACAATAATATAAAAACCGTTGCAAAGTTTGAAAGACGCATTTGTTGACCTCTATCGTAAGTGCAGATGGTGAACGAAGAGGGTCACGGACATAATTTAATCAACAAAGATTTCTACACTTTAATATACTTTTTGGTGTCCCTAACTTTTATAAATCGATGAAACTTTATTTATGATAGTTAAATTAAAGTCATATTACCATCATATTGGATTTCAATTTGGAAATTACTATCGATTCTGAGGTCCAAAACTCCATGAAATTGACTAGATATGGAAAAAATCCATCGAACGAAAACTTAAAATGCAAAATTCATTGGGACTGCAATCAGTGAAATGCCGAATATGAAGAGGCACTGTAATATGAGGACTATACAAAATAGTGAAGCGAATTTAAAATTTAGTAAGAAAGGGATTCATATCCTCGGAAAATTCTTTCGAAGCGTCAAAAGTAGCCTTAATACACATGTAACGTTATACGGTGACTATGCGCTATCGTCAGTAATTACACTGCGAAGATTTACACTTGGGAAATTGTTCGGTTGGTAGATAAAAATCACCATAGGGGGGTTTAGCTGAACCATACAAAAGGGCCTCAAATATTTTGCTCTATACTCCGCAAAAGTTAATATAAAGTTTTAAATTTGATAGTCCTAGGGGTTACATAAGAAGTTATTTGTATAAAATATTAGCTGATCCAGTCCGCGTTGCCGGCCCGTAGTTTTAGTCTTTAATGCATAGTTAAAAGGAGCCAGATGCCAAATAAGGGCAAAATCAATTGAAAAATGTGACCAAGACCCTGGCAATAGCTAAAATCCGGGAACCCCCCTTTTGGGATTTTTATTTACCAACCGAAAAATTTCCTAACCCCAAGATTGTCTGCGGCGCAGTGTAATTACTGGCGATAGCGCTTAGTGTCCTATGATTTAAGGTTACTTTAAAGGATTCGGAAGAATTTTCCGAGTATATGAATCCTTTTCTTACTATATTTTCAATTCACTCCACTATTTTATACAGTCCGTAATATTACAGTGCTTCTTCAATTCGGTATTTCAGTGATTGAAGTCCCAATGAATTTTGCATTTTGAGTTCTCATTGGATGGTTTTTTTCCATATCAGCATGTATAGAAAATATGCAAACTATCTCAATTTTTTCGGTTTTTTTTTCTCAATAGGACAGTCAATTTTTTCAGTTCCGCGATTTTCTCAAAATTTTCTTTCTTGACAACGTTTTCACCGTAATTACAAATAACCAAAAAAACTTTGAGTCAAATCGGCCCAGCCGTTCTCAACTGTTGTGTTACTATACCTTTTAAATTTTTTTTCATATAAAATTAAAGAAGTAGATGGGCCAGTTCCTCTGACCCCAAACAAATGGCTAGGGTTGGAGGGAGAGTCAAGATTACGTCGTATACTAACTGTGGAACAGAACGAAATATTATATATACACTGGTGGCCAAAACTAAAGCAACTTAAATCGCAAAGACAATAAATGTCCTTTAACTTTTACAAAAATAAACAAATCGTAATTATTTTTCCAGTTTTAAATGAGGGGTTTAATTCACTTTTAAGAAACTAAAAATAAAAATACAAAAATAATTTTGAACGAAAAATAATATTTTGGCTAGTAGTCGATAGCATAACCATTATTTTTGATAGCAGCTGCACACCTACGAGGCATTGAATCTATAACACGCTCAATTTGATCCTTGGGTGTGCTTTCCCAGGCACCCCGAATTCTTTAGAAAAAGTTGTGCTTATTTATTTCCGAATCTCGCTTGATCTTCCTATCTACGATACTCCAAAGGTTTTCTATGGAGTTTAGGTCAGGTGATTGTGCCGGCCATAACAAAACATCAATTTTTGACTCCCGCAACCGATATTTGACAAGTTTTGATACAAGTTAGGGATCATTGTCATGCTGAAACACCCAAATTAGCCGAATATTTTACTCATCGTAAGGGAACAACGTGATGTCCAACACATCTTTGTAAACAAACCGATCCACAACTTCCTTTATTTAATGGATAGGCCCACACTGCGGCTTGAGTCCTTCATTTTTTGGTCTTCTCACCGTAAAATTTTTGACGTCTGAGCCTTTAATATTAAACGTCTGAGCCACTTAATATTATCGTTTCCGAAAGCCTTTTTGATTTTTTCAGATATTAATTGTTTTTTTGATGTCTTACGGGCATGCAGACCAGCTGCCACTACTCGTCTACGCACGGATCTCGAGCTTATATCCAATGATTGCTCTCTCACCAATCCAGTTGAACTCTTAAATAGTTGTTTTTTATTTCCCTCACAATTTGTGGATCAGTACGGACTGAAGTTTTTCACGGCCTTCATCCGTTATAGACTGTTACTACTGATCCAGTTTCAAAAAACCGACTTAGTATACAGAAATAATTATGAAATCACATAAATATTTATGAAATATTTCTCGGAAATCATTTTGTGTGATATGTTGTTTTGATAGTCACTGATAATTTGCTGTTTTATTCAGGTACTGTATTTGCTTCTAGCCATTTTTAAAACTTTTTGGACAGTACTTAAAAAACGAAAAAAAAAACACATACTGTTGTAAAAAACTTCTCAAAAAGGATTTATGACAAGCGAAATTGTCGAAGGAAGCAAAAAGCGATAAATATCACAGTAAAAACAAATGAAATTGAAGCGGTTATATGAATATACAACAGAGTTGCTTTTGTTTTGTCCAAGCCAAAATCGGGTTAATTGACTTTACCAAACATTATTTTTTATATAAAAATGAATTTTGGTTTTATGTTTTAGGTTTTTAAAAAGTGAATAATGTACCTAATGTAAAACAAGAAAAACTTTCTAATTTTCTTAATTTACAGGGCATTCATTTTCCTTGTAATTTTAGTTGCTTTAGTTTTGGCCACCCTCGTATATATATATATATATATATATATATATATATATATATATATATATATATATATATATATATATATATATATATATATATATATATATATATATATATATATATATATATATAATATTTCGTACAAACCTTCGTCTTACCCCGAGTTAGGTTTTTAAAGAAAAAAATATTGACCACCCGTAGTTTTACGTCTCCTATTGCGATTTATCTAAAATCCTTATATTTGCCAAATAATGAAGATATAGGTTTTAAAATTATTACACGACATACTTTCCCTCCAATCCTATGTATTTATTTGGGGGCTGAGGAACAGACCACGCCTAATTTTTAATCTGTTTATAAACCAATTTTTGTTCGTTGGTAACTGATTCAGTTGAGACCGGCTGGAACTATTTGCAGATTTTTTTTTTTAATGATTTTGCCCTTATTTGTCATCTGGCTTCTGGTAGAAGACCTTTCAACTATGCATTAAAGACTAAAACTACGGGCCGGCAACGCGGACTGAGGCCCTTTTGTATGGTTCAGCTATATAAAATGGACCCTAAAAGCGTTTGACCCGAAACCCCCCTATGGGGATTTTTATCTACCAACCGAACAATTTCCCAAGTGTGAATTTCGCAGTGTAATTACTGACGATAGCGCATAGTCACCGTATAACGTTACATGTGTGTTAAGGACTTTTAACGGTTCGAAAGAATTTTCCGAGGATATGAATCCCTTTCTTACTAAATTTTAAATTCGCTCCACTATTTTGTATAGTCCTCATATTACAGTGCCTCTTCATATTCGGCATTTCACTGATTGCAGTGCCAATGAATTTTGCATTTTAAGTTTTCGTTCGATGGATTTTTTCCATATCTAGTCAACTTCATGGAGTTTTGGACCTCAGAATCGATAGTAATTTCCAAATTGAAATCCAATATGATGGTAATATGACTTTAATTTAACTATCATAAATAAAGTTTCATCGATTTATAAAAGTTAGGGACACCATAAAGTATATTAAAGAGTAAAAATCTTTGTTGATTAAATTATGTCCGTGAGCCTCTTCGTTCACCATCTGCACTTACGATAGAGGTCAACAAATTTAATATGCGTCTTTCAAACTTTGCAACGGTTTTTATATTATTGTTAGGATGATTGATGTTACAAAAGGTATATATTTATTCACATTAAGATATAGCCCTCATATAATATTATCTTCTAATATTCGTCGACCAAATGTGCCTCTTTATATTCATTATTTCATCGTATTTAATAAAATTTTCAAATCTCAGCTATCAGTACTATGAAGGTTTTTGGAATATTTTCCAAATCAAAAAGAATTTAAGAATTCGTAACTTTTAGAAGATCATGTTTTTTAAGGTATTTAGTTTTTACCAGTCAATTAAACTATACCCGACTATGTATGCGGCCGTTCGTTCGTTGAAATCGCAATGAAGGCGAAATATTTAGGTTAATATATATATATATATATATATATATATATATATATATATATATATATATATATATATATATATATATATATATATATATATATATATATATATATATATATATATACAGGGAATTATGTATTTTTTGGATTTGCTTGTAACATGCAAAAGGAAACGAGATACGAGACCAATAGTTCCATTTGATGATCTAAATAGAACCTCTTTCTGATTTGATTTATGCATGTCCGTCCGCCTCTACAAGCTTTTTTAAGACAAGCTCAGGCCGATTTATTGCGCCATGTACACGATCTTTTGCGCAGTTTTAAATTGGCAATAATTGGACCAGAATTAGATGTAGCCCCCCCATATATCTACATAACACCGGATTTTTGTATGAAACCAGGTACATAAATTCTGCCTCGAGATTATATTCAGTCGTACATTATTCAGTCGTAAATGGTAATGATAAAATCAATTAAAAAAGTTTACATGTTTTTCGAAATTTATTGTACGTTCGTATTATGTAATAAACGTCTTGCAAAAAGATAGCTGCTCCCAGCATCATGCACATTTCACTACTGTTAAGAACAAATATGATATAGTAAGATGGAAAAATACAAATATACTTACCTTGAATTTTCCTTCATCAAGATTGATAACTTTTATTTCTCGTCTACATAATACAGCTGCATTATAGGCACCAAATGGACACATTGCAGTTGGCTGTGAAATGCCTTGTAGGATGCGAACACGAGTACAGTTTCGGATATCCCACACACAAATCTCTTCCCTATCTGTGCTTATAGATGCTATAAAAAATCCCTGATGGGGCAAATTTACCAAAGCATCATAGCTTGTTTTACCGCTCCCAAGTTCGTCGCCAAAAGATTTATTAATAATATCTAGGAACGGAACTTCCAATTCATTTGCCGTTTCAAGCCATGAACGTATTATTTGATCGTCTTTCAACGATGGATCATCTGCAATTCGCGTCTTGATATAGAATTTGATAAGAGTAAAAAATTGATGACCATCGTAATTCAGTTCATACATATATTGACAGAGAAAGTCTTTCAAAATCCTTATGTGTGCATAAGGTTGAGATTTAATGTTTGCCATATGTTCGCAAGTTAGAACATCATTCATCAAATGACTGGGACCGGTTGCGTGGACCTTATCTGCCATCCACTGAAGCTCGGTAAAATAAAAGGAGTGAAACAGAATTTCCATTTTGTTTAGTCCCGTGTGGTCCTCCATAACGTTACAAAAATGATGATAAGGCAACTTTATATATTTCTCTGTGTTATAGCTGAAATAGAAAAAGAGTTACATTAGTAATTAAAAAAAATTGCCATAATAATAGATCTAAAGAATGAAAACAATTCATACTCTGTTTTTCTGAGGTAATCGAAAATGAAAACGAATCGTAGGCAGTCAATCGATGTTGAATTTAATTGGAATTATTTACGTTTACCGTGCGATATTTATTTTATTTAGGGAAATCGATAAATAAATGAGAATCGAATGCTAAAATATAAAATAATTAATAAAAAACATTTCTCAAAGAAAAAAAGCGAGTGTACCACCCAAAAAATAAAAAGCAAGTGACTAAATTTGACATTTGATATACAGCAATTTTTTTACAGAAACTTATTTGTATGAAACATGTTTCCGTTTTATTTCGAGTTGTCAAATCTAGTCACCATTCGAGTAAAAGTTAAAAAGTAAATATCAGTTTTGCCGACAGATGTATACCCTCAGCCAATGTACGAGTATTTAAAAACATTTTGACTACTGTCATTTATTCAAATATTTAACCCCTTGAGTGAGGAATGTTCCAATATTGGCCATTTCGTATCGGACCTAAATAAAAATTATATAAATATTGCGACGTGTCAGGTTTGGACTATACTGGTAACTTCCTTCACTTTACATGAGATATGTGATCATTTTTAGAAAATTCCAGGACTCAGAAGGCTTTAAGCTGATATTAGTTGAGTCTTCATATAAATTAATCCCCAAAGTTCAACATCCAGAAATTGTATACTAATTTCTTCGGCAACAAATAAATCATCTTTTACAGAAAAGGCCATACGCAATAGCGCCAACTCAAAAACCAATAACTTTTTCAGGAATCAAACAATTTAAGTGGACGCTAAGCAACTTTATACTATACTACTTTTGGAGTTCATTAAACCCGTAATAAATGTAAGCATTGTATGTGAATTTAATTTTGAGCTCTAAACATTGCCCATTGTATTTGAATATAATATTTGAATTGCTGTGGCGTTTTATCTAAATTAGATGCAATTTTTTAACTAGAGGATAATAATTTTCTCAAAAGATATATCGTTGTGGTACAGTTCCAAGAGCAGTAGGATAAAACATTGAGAGCACGTCGCACTCATATAACTTCCAACTATAGCAATTTCCAATTGTTGCAAACCTATTGCAATGGAAATGAAACCTTTTGCAACCGAAATGAAACTGTTTGCAAATCAAATACAACTAATAGTTTTATAGAAAAGAACATAAAAAAATTTATTTGTAGTAGGTTTAAAATTAAATCAACTTATTGTTACTAATATATACTTAAAGATAAATTTTTATCAACTATGTTTACAAATACTATTTCTTAATTTTTCAATTATTGTAATAACAATTTGTTCTTTATTGATTTCATAGAAAAAATATTTCCTTTCAACGCAGCATAACACTGTGTACGCGATAGAGCCTACACAACATAATGGTTTTAAAAACAAACTGCGAAGCGGGAATACTTTATAAGGTAAAATTAATAGTTCGATATAACTAAAACCAGTAAAGAAAGTCCTAAAGTCGGGCGGGGCCGATTTTATGATACCCTACACCACTTTGCTAATTTAGTTGAGCTCCACTTAATAATTAAAAGTTTTTATGGGAGAATTCAATCATACACGCTATGATTATAATTATAATTTAAAATTCAAAGGACTAAATATGCCGAAGCATTTGTATCTTTTAAATTCGGACTTGTATTGCCCATTTGGTGCGAAATTAATTTGAAATGGGATAAAAATACGTATGGGAACTATATCCAAATCTGAAACGATCTCGATAAAATTTGGCAAATATTGTTGTTACAGAGTGCATATTACGGCTGCGGAGGACAAAAATAACAAATCGGATGAATAATATATATGGGAGCTATAGCTATATCTGAACCGATTTCGATAAAATTTGGCATACTTATTTTCAGGCCTAATTTGGGTGTATATGCAAAATTCCATACAATTCGGGCTGATATTACACGTTTGGTGCACAATAAAAGGCAAATCGGACGAAGATATATATGGGAGCTATATCTAAATTTTGACCGATTATCTCAAATTTCAATGGGCCAAACAAATGTTGTTTGCAAAATTTCATCTCAATCGGATAATAAATGCGACCTGCATTTTGTTTACAAGAATACATGGACAGACGGACGGACGGACAGACGGACTGACATGCATAAATCAACTCAGAAAGGGATTCTATGCAGATCATCAAAAGGAACTATGGTCTATCTCGTTTCCTTTTGCCTGTTACAAACAAATGCACAAAGACATAATACCCTGACCACCTTGTGGTGTAGGGTATAAACATTATAATAAATTTATAGTAATAAGGACCAAAAATTTATTTATCATCAATTTTTTTTACCGTCAAGCATTAAGAATATTTAATAGGTAAATATTTTACATGTAATCAATGAACAATACATGGGTATTACAATAATTGAAATTTGAGTAAAATTTTCGGAAGCTAGAGTGATTTCCACAGACGGACAGACGGATAAATGGACAGACGAACGGACATCACTAAATCGACATAGAATTTTATGCTGATCAAGAATATATGTACTTTGTGGAGTCTAAAATGTATATTTCGAGGTTTTACAAACGGAAAGACAAACTTAATATACCCTCCATACTATGGTGGATGGTATACAATTATTTTGTTACATTTTGTGATTGATATGTTTATAATCTCCACCATAGTACTTTTTACTTGTACCAATTCTAATTATGTGTAGAAAATGAAGTTAGTGCACAATTATACAGAAAGGTCATTTAGGTATCAATAAATATGTAAACAGAACATGGTGTCAGGAGTGAGTGAAGACTAAAGTGTGCGGTCAGATAAGTCAAACAAATTGTTGAACAATTCGGTACAAACAAAAATAAATAGCAAAAATTTACAGCCTGTTCCACGATCTCGAAAGAAAATTTGTGAGAACGAAGGCTACTCACTCACTTTCGTATAAGAACGCGTTCCACTAACTTTCGTTCTTTCTTTCGCATAGCCTTACGTGATTCAGTGTTGCTAAATATTTTTTTGGAAAAATTAATCGCGAAATAAGGCAAAAAAAAAGCGCTAAATGTCTAATTTAAACGCGAAAAAGCAGCAGTTGCTCTGTCTCAACTGACATTTCAGTTGTAAACAAACAAATTGTAAATAAACAAACAAAATAAAATTTCTAGTGATTGTGTTCAAACTATTTGTGCTCTTAGAAAATAAAAAAAAAGAATATTTCTGTAGCCCTATTTTTTATGGATGATGTGGAGGAGGTTCAAAATGTGCCACGGAGGCATTTAAGAGATGCTTCGAATTTATTTGAAGTACCTAACAACCAGTAAGTATGATTGTATTTTTACATTTTTGAAATAATAAAAAATGCTTTTTTCTAGGTTTGTGGCCAATTTTCGTGTGTCGAAGGAAGTTTTCGGGCTCTTTTGGATATGATGGAAGAGAAGTGGGTGCCCGGTTGCGAAACTACCCAAATCTGCCCGATTTAAAACTTCTTCTGCTGCTTCCAAAAATTGGCACTCCTCTGGCGAACACAGGATTCTCCTCCATATACTCAACTAGTGCCCGCAGCTGTGTAGTTGATGATTTTTTCGTGCTGGAATTGAGAAAATAAAAAATATATATTTGTTGTTCACATATTAAATTGCATTTTTTTATTTTTACTTACATTTTTGTTTCTATTTTCAATCAAGCAATGTTTATGTTAAAACATTTTTCCTTAACTGTTATTATACGATAGCAAACACACAAGTGACTGATTTTGACATTTGTGTTCGCATGCGTACGCAAAAAAAAGATAGTGGAACGCAAAATTACACTGAAATGCTTACGTTTTCGTTCGCTTTGATTTTCGTGCAAATTTTCGTTCTGATGGATTTTAGTGGAACGGAAATCAGCTGTTTGTCGTGTAAAAGTTGTGCGAACGTGTTCTTTCGTTATCGTGGAACTGGCTGTTAATGTCTGCAAAATGGCTGAAAGTGAAGTAAAGTCGAGTGCAAGTTTTTCTTCGTCATTGCCGAAATTGTTCACGTCTACAAATTTAGATAGTGAAAGTGCCGCGGAATGGAAAAAATGGTGGCAACAATTTGAAATATATTTATACAAGACTTGACAAAGAGTCAGAAAAAAGAAAAGTTGCTATTTTATTGCATTCAGTGTGTGGTCGCAGCGTGAAAATATTTAATACATTTAACCTTGATATGGATAAAGCTACAATCACAGAAGTGAAATCAAAATTTGATACTTATTTTGAGCCGACAAAAAATCTAACCATGATCAGACACAAATTTTACAAATTGTGAATTACGAGAATCGTTGGTTAGAGATGTTTTTATTGATACATGAATTCTAACATGTCACACATTCGTCAGCGTCTACTACAAGAAGAAAATCATCCGTTACAAAAAACCGTTGAAATTGCAAAAACAATCATCATTGCATCAATGCAGAAACAATCATGAAAGAAGAGAGTGCAACAACAACAAATGAAAACGTCATGCACATCAGCCGACAGAGCAGAAGTCGTGGTAGAAGCAGCAGCAGAGTGAAAAAGCCTAGTAGCAGCACTGGTTCTCAACAAAAATACCATCAAAACGAACAGCAGTATACAGAAAATAACAACAACAATTGTGGAAGATGTGGTCAAAGACACAGATTTAAATGTCCAGCAATGTCAGCTAAGTGTAGATCTTGTAATGTGTATGGACATTATGCAAAATTTTGTTTGTCAGACAATTAGAATCTAATTCAGATCATAGTGAACAAGAAAGTTCAAAAGAATTATTTATTGGCATTTTAAATGAAAACAAAACATATTCTAAAGAGTCGTGGCAACTTTTGATTGCAGTCAATAACAAAGATGTAAATTGTATATCAGACACAGGTGCAGATATTAATGTCATGTCTTTAAAAACATTTACAAAGTTGAATATAAAAAGTGTATTAAATAAATCAAATGTACAATTATCAGGATTTAGT